TTTAAGGTTTTTGTTTGTTTGTTTGTTTTTTACAATAACTTTTAGTGATCTCACTCTGAAGTTTTACTATTTAGTCACTGATTGTTTCAAGTAAAAATAATCAGAAAAAGTGAGAAACACTGACTTCTAGAATGACATCTGGAGCTGAGTGCAGAGGGTATTTGCATTTATTGGACTTCCTAGGCAACACAGTTCAGAAAACACGGAAGAGTTGAGGTTTAGGGTCTTGCTCTTTGATCTAGTTTCTCCTCTGATATCACTATTATTGTTCTTTTAACTTCTAATTATTTCCTCTAAGTTTGGTAACCTGAGGATAGGAAGTTAGTCAGAGGGGAGGCAGGAACTCTTTCTTTCCTGTTAGAGCTATGTTTTCGGTTGTTTTGTTATAAATGTTTTACTGAACTTTTAAACAAGTTGTCACAATGTGTTACTCTGAGAATTAATGGGACACTTGTAAACAGGTTGTAAAGTGATAGCAACGTGAGCCATGCTGTTACTTTGACTGTGTCACAAACACAAATGGTTTTTCATCAACTGTCCAGCCTCCTCCAGAGAGGACAGTTGCTGAGAGCTAAGGCTGGTGAAGGGTGTGTACATGTGTCCTGGTGAGGATGGTAATATTTGCAAAGCATCAACATTTTCCTTATTTTGTACTTATTCTACTCTATCTCACTGTTGTAAGGCTGCTTAGGAGTCCTGGATTAATTGTGGTCATACCCAAGAACGCTCTCCCTGCCTTGAGGAAGATAAAATCTGAAGATAGAACAACTGAATGTGGTCAGAGCAGAAATCCAGAAGTTGCAGCATCCTGTGTGATGCTGACAAGTAGTGAAGTTCAATGGGTGAGTGTAGAAGCCAGGCAAGCACAGTATGACCTTCTCCTTTACACCATCCCAACTTTTTGCAAGGAGAGATTTAGAGATCGCTTGAGCCACAGGCTGTATCTGCCTCACAGAGTTTGATGGCTGAAAAAATAAACTCGAGGGAGCTGGGGAAACTGGAAGATAAAAACCTACTCTTTTCAGCTTGTCCATTCATGACTGTTTCTTAGAAGTATATGGCTCCATGTTTTATCTACCATCCCATGTCATTGTTTCTGTGAAATGTCAGAAATCATAAACAGTCTTAGGCTTTAATGAGTCATTATATGCTTAGTTATGCTTATAACTACAAGTTTAGATAAAGTGGCCTATCAACATCCTGTGTGTTACAGGATGTAGTATGCCTGTGCATTACTGAGACTGAACTCCTTGGAGCACCTCATGTGACTTTGTATTTAGTCCTGCGTTAATACCTGTCCTTAGGTTGATACAATATCTGTAATAACACAGAGATTACCACATCTATAACTTCCTATTAATGGGAATTTGGTCCTTTAACTCTAGTGCGTGTAATGGTGGGCCTTATATGTTCCTTCAGTAGGAAGCTCTGAATTATTTATGACTGACCTTCAAAAAGAAAAGAAGAAAACTAGCTAATGGAAATGTTTTCAAACTTAAATATTTTTGTAAGTACATTGTGTGTCTGGAACCGAAGACAAAATAACATGTCTGGGAGATAAAGCAAAAAGCTCTTTGGAACATAAATTGTGGAAGCTGTGCCCTGCTGTTTCTGAGCAGGGAGCTGCTGGGTGGTCTGACTGTCACCGGCTGGGGAAGCAAGTTCTGGCACTTACAGAGCAGACAGATTTAGCTTTTTCTTGTGCTGTATCCCATCATTCATACTGAGGAGAAAAACAATGAGATAACTGAGAAGTTCATCCCTGGGGGAGATCAGCTGCTCAGTTGCTGATAATGCTATAGTGAAGAGGGGTATTGCTATAGTAAAGAGGGGTATTTCTGATTTAGCAGATGGGTAAAACAAGCCATCCAACCTTTGCCTGGCAGGGGGAATCTGGTCACTTTAATGAGTAACTGTGCAGTTGTGAATCCTTGCTTTATTTTTGCCTGATATAAAAGGGAAGATCTAGAGCAATAATGTTCCTTTGGTGGGTTCCACAGCTGCTCTGCTGGCCAGGGTAGGCAGACCAGGTTGCAGAAAAGCTGAGGTGCTTGCTAGGGTCTTCTAGGCAGTGTAGTCTGTGTTGGGGGCCTAGTTTCCTTCTGCTGAAACAACTTTCTCCTGCAGAAGCAATTATGAACATGCTGGTATCTTCTCAGCTTATCAGGCCACTTTTCCTGTCTTGCACTTTGTTTCCTCATCTCTAAGTGGAGGCTTTGCTGATACTTATTTTTTTGCCGTGAGCTTGCCCGTACCTTGCCTCACTTGAACTGCAGCTTCAAGGAGTTCAGGAAGAAATGCTGAGTAGTTGGAGGCTAGGGAGCAACAGCTGTCAGTGTCAAAAATCAGTGCTATTTTTCAGTGTATGTGAAATAAGGTCAGTGTCAAGGACAGCGGTCGGTATTCTTCCTTTTATCATCTTTACAAGGAGCCCTTATTACTTCCCAGACAGTTCCATTACTGTGATTTGAAATGTTTTTTACCTTTGGACCATGGGGGACAGGTGGGAGGGAACAATGAGGGGTGTAAACGTTGCTGATCTTTGAGAACCAGAAACTAGCTTTATAATGCAGAACTCTTCTCTGCACTGTCAGGGTAAGGCTGTCAAGTGTTTTGTTGCTTGTTCAATTGACTGATGCTCTATTTATCTTGAAAGTAGTTTATCCTTCAAGATCATAGATTGACTGCTCTGTGGCCCTCAATATATCTATTCCTCAGCATAACATGGCAGCAGATTTGACACTACCCTCCCTACAGCTGAATGACAAGATCCTTTCTGAAAGGAAGAAAGGGGATTGAAGCCATTAAGAGAAGCAAGACAGGAGATGGACTTGAATGAGGCTGCTGATAAAAGTGTAATGTCATTGTTATGATGTGAACTAAAGGTAGGATTAGTACCTCAAGCATTGGATTTTATGATGCATGCTCAGTCTTCTGGGTCAGCATGCTTCTGACATGGCTGCATGGGCTGCAAGCTGTCCCCTAACATCTGAGTGCTGAAGGTCTGCATTCTCTACTGAACATATCCAGAAGCCTGCTGAAGGACATTGTGTTTCAGGCAGACATGTAAGTTGTTATAGATAATGAGACAGATGCTTCCCCTGTATTTTTTTTCTCAAAGCTGAATTGCAAAAAGGAAAGAAAAATGTTGTTTATTGAATAATTCACAGACCATGCTCTGTTAGGATTAGTGCATCTAACTGGGTGTATGCCATCAATGTTCCTGTTTCTCCTGCAGCTTCTGTATCTTGGAACCTTGGTGACTGGGTGTTAATTTCTCCCCAGAAGCAGAGTGTTGGTTTTAAGCCCCACAAGAAGGGAAGGAAATGCTATTATATTGTATTTTTTGCTAACGAGAAGTATACGTGTATCACTGAGTTAACAAGAATGTAACACTTCTCAGCAGTTGCTGGGCTCAGCATTTTCAAGCGAAGTCAGAACATGTTTATCATTCTAAGGTGGAGTAGGAAAAATCTGAGACTTCTACCTTGAAATGAAGATGGAACAAGGGACCTAGAGAGGGAGAACAATATTCTAGTCATTAAATATTGAAGCATATGTCAAAACCAATGAAACTGATGGGAGAGAGTGCTTCTGTTGATGCTATTGTTATGAAAATTAGGACTGGAGAGAAGATGCACAACAAGATAAAAGCTCGAGGGTATGTCAGACAGATTTATTACAAATACAGTCCAGACAGTAGCTCTTCAAACTAAAAAATATTTCCAAACAAACCTCCATGTGTCTATGCCCTGTCCATTAGATGGAAGGGGGTAGCTGAATGTTATTTGTGTTACAGAAGCTTTTGGAGAGCCTCACTCAGAACTGTACACATTGACATCAGATGCTCTACAAATACCAAACGGACTGTCCCTGACTTTTATTTTTTCCTCTGTGTTGGGCTAGAGGGAAACTTGGCAACGAAAAGCAATTTTTCTGGAAAATGTGCAGTAAAAGCTCAGGTTTCTGTTTTGGGCTATCGGTTATTAGATTGTGAGATGAATTTCCAGGCTCTTATTCTTTTAGTGATGATGCCATCTAGTGGGGTAGGGAGGACAGTGGGCTGTGAAGTGGTGGGCCCATCAGACTGGATGGGGCTGGGCTGGAAACCAGGGAGCATGTTTCCACTGCCTTTATGAGGCTGGTATTTGCCTCTGCCAATGTCCTCCTTATTCTGCTTACCATCACACAGCCTTTCCTAGCAACAATTTCCTGGTTAACAAACTTCATACACTTAGATGCCACCTAGCTGTTTCCAACTTCTTGCTGCAGTAAAGGAAGGCATATCTGGATTTAATTTGTTCTTTTAAAAGCAGGGAATAGTAGCTTTGAATTTGTGGATGCCTTTGTCATATATATCAAAGAACTATGGTGACAACAACAGCTGATTCATTACAAATCTTAGTAACTTACTGCTCCTTTACTCCAGGTTTGAAAGGACTTGGCTGATAGGTTGACTCTTGTAGTTAAAGCTTGTATCCTTCTGAGACTGAGTGCTGAAGTAGCAGCTTTATGGAAATCTTTGAGATTTCTAACAGCTGGGGCTGTCCTGTAATCATTCCACTTGCCCATGTTGATGAGAGGTGTTTAGAAGAATGAAGTCATTTAATCTTCTGTGCTGTCTGCATGTCCTATTAAAAAAATAAATAAATAAATTCTTTTGCTATACCTTTATTTCTTAGTGAAGATCTGGTGTGTTTTCAAAGGATGGTGGGTGGCAGGGAGAACACTTGGTCTCCTTGGCCTGCAGCATCAACAAAAATAGTTTTGTGCTGTGATATCTTGTGACAGTGATAGGCAGAGAAAAGCAAATCTGTTAATAGAGCACAAGGAAGTTGCATGGATTTCTGATATTCTGGTGAAAAAGAATCCTCTTCTCCACTGTGACTAGGTGTCCTTAATTTTTGTGAAAATAAAATATTAGAAAAAATGCTTTAATTCCATAAAATGGCTGCCATTTTTTTTTTACTAAAACTAGTCTTTCTTTGTTTTTTTTTTAGGAATCCATCTGTGCCTCACTAGGAATGAGCCTTTTGTGTGCTGGGAATGTGGTAAATTTACAGATTTTTTTTATTTTTTTTTCAAGCTGAATCTTTGGTTCTCCTGCAGAAAGGCAGTAGAAATCTGTACATTCTTATATGTGCTAACTATGTTCTTGCTGTAAAATACACTAATCAAAAGAGTTCATGGCATGAGAATTTTAATTCTAGACATAATGCTTTTTTGGTATTTTCTTTGTAATTTTGTATTTCTTTTTTTCCATTGTTTCACTGTAGAGTAGCCTGGTTCTAAAGAAGAAAATATATGCTGAAATGTTACTGCATTTTTTTAGCTAAATTTTTACAGAAACTTGCAAAGAAACCCCTTAATTTAGAGGGCTGGAAATGCCTGCTTATTAGTTCATGCTGCCACTGAAATACGAGACTTCTGTCACAAGAAACAAGTGTGTGTAAAATGAGCTTGTGGGCTGCCTGCAGACTAGAAACATCCCTTCTGTTTTCATTTCATAAAAAACATTCCTGGGGGAGACTGCCAACAGTTTTTACATGTTAGCAATGATTATCTTTATGTAGAACAAGCACTGCCTGACTGGGATCTGGGCCCATCAGAAAACATACTTAGCATAGAAACTACAAATGCTATGAGGATGTGGAAGTATGAAGTCAAACAAAACCAAGGAGGCTAACTGGCTAGGAGGTGTTTTGCTCTGGTTTAAAGCTGAAGCCTCCATTCACACCTAGCTCTTAGCCAAGACTGGAAGCCACACTTGCCTGCTTTACTTTTGCTCTCAGCTCAATGCCCTGGGAAGCATAGATCCCTTGATTCTAGCAAATTAAAAGATGAAAAATGTGTTTGAGTAGACCTCAATGCCTGCATAAGTACAGAACATCTAGTTTGTCCTATCTGGAGGTCTATTTGTAATCTGCAGCTGTATGAACTTGCTGAATGTGGGCATCAGTCACGTAATTTGCAAAGGAACCTAAACTACCTTCCAGCCTCCTAACCTCTGTTGGGATGCAGTCCCACCAGAGCTGAAAGCCTGTCCCGTGTCCCAGCAGATGGAGCTCTTGCTGAGCTTTTCCATTTTGAGTTAATTTTCAGTTGTTGCCGCATCTGCTGAGTGCACCCTGGTAAACAAAATGTCTGGAAACAGCTGTGTGTTGTGGGGTAAAGGGAAGAGCAATATTGAAGCTGTTTATTTTGACTAAGTTGATCCAGAAGACAAAGAACTTGCTATACAGGACAAGCAAAGGAAAAAAATGCCCCTGGTATTTTTAAAAATAATTAAAGCTTCATGTTTTTCCCTAATTCTTTTACTTATTTTGCACTGCAATTATAAGCATGCTCTTTTGCTTTTCACAGAAAATTTCTTTAAGGTCATGATTTTTATGATGTGATAAATTAAGCAAGCTCAGCCTAGGTTAGGATTTGAATAGGGAGTTTGAAATAAAACGTGTGAATCCTGACTTTGTTGTATTTCTTTCATGTTATGTTGGAGGACAGTGTTCCACATGCAATGCGTTTCTAGGGTGATAGCGAGGTCCTGATGGCATATGCTTATTGGTATTAAATAGCATATGACAGTTTTCACTAAAATTGTCATTATTGGCTTTATTTCCAAGTGGATAGTACCTCACCTTGGTTATTTCATACAAGGAAACATTGCCTGATCACTACTGAAGTTCTACAGTGTTTCAGTGACCTGCCCTGGTGGCTGCCTTCTGCTGCTGGTTAAGGCTTCTTGTTAGGACTGATACAGTTGTAAAATGTGTTCTTTGTAGCATGATACACTCTAGGAAATGAGTTATTTTGGTGCAAAAAATTAGGATTTGTGCTCTGAAGCAAAATGTTGGATTCAGTACACTGGCAAAACCAGGATGGTGTGTGGGTATGTCTGCTCATACAGCAATTATTTCTATAAACACAAATTTTGGCAGATACTAGGAGCAATATCATAGATTGTATAGAAAGCAGATGGTTACTTCATAGTTAGACTGGATGTGCTGTGTGTGGTTGGTGGGGACAGGACACCTTAGCATGCAAAGGAGCTTCATGCCAACAAATGAATGTATGCAATATATAGTAAGGGTTCGTGGGGCATTTTTATTTTTTATTTTTTTATTTTTTTTCTGCTGGAGGCTGCATAAGAAAGTGTAGGAGGGTGTGTGGGAACTGTGAGCTGTGGGAAGGGTGGTCAGCCTGATTTAAAACCAAGGTATGTTAGACCCCTTACAATGAAGAGACTGTTCTTAAAATTGTTTTCTTTTTCCCGTATGGATAAAAGCAGTGGTGCAAGAGGCTGTGCTTTGTCATGTTAAGCTAAACTTGAAGTTCTTTGACATCTTTAGTTGAGCAATGGCATTCATTTCTGAAGATGGTCTAAATAGTGTCAGCTAAAACATTCAGCAAATACTTCATGCAGGAATGCGTGCATGCCTGTACAGTGGTGTGAGTTCGTATTTATAGCATCATGCTCCTGTCTTAAGTGGTATGCTGCCTCTGTTCCTTGATACTCCCTTCTCTACTCTGCTAGCTTCTGGTATTTAGTCCTGAATTCTAGCTTGGCAGTTGACAGTTAGCAGTGTCCTGCTGGCATCCCTAGAGAGCAGAGGATTTACAGTAATCAGTGTTCTCAGTAGCAATCAGCCTGCTTTTCAAAGTGCATTTTGAATTGCTAACTGCTTGAAAATGCTGATTGAACATGTAAGGCAGTGTGTGCTCTTGATGGAAATGAAGTCAAAGGCTTGCTCTGAAATTGGGTGGCTCGTAGGGTTAGCATGAAAGAGCACACCAATTTCTGCAGCCCGGTATATGAGGAAACAATCACTCTCCAGGCTGGAAAAACATGGACTCAAACAAATGAAATGAACTGGAGCGCCCCTCAGATCTGAAGTAAGATTTGAGTGAACAAATCCTTAATTGCTCTGACAGCAAGCTTTTCGTGGTCAAGAAGACAATGAATGAGACCCAAAGTCAGCAGATCTGGAAACAGAGGAGGGTTTGGGGGTGAAGTGATGAGCTTAGATTTTGATCCAGTCACCTAAATGTGCTCCCAAAGCATTTGGTAGAAACAGCTCAAACCTGTTATGCACATTGGCAGCCACCTCTGGGTGGCAGCTTCTGAACACAGTGTGGCTGTGCCACCTGACAGCTGAGGATCAGAAATGCTGCTTGGCTCCCAGGGGAGAAGACACAACCTACCCCCTGTGCGACAAGCCTGTGTTGTGGTATGGGTCTCTAGCTCAATTAGCTTTTACGTTAAGATCTTGGTATTGTAAGGACAGTGCTTCCCTCGAGGCCCTTTTGTTTTTGCAGTGCCTCTCTTGGCTCCCAGTTTTGAATAGTGCAATGCTGTGGCTTATGAAGCAAAACTCTTATGGTCTGTAAACAGGCTTAAATCAGGCATGGATTTACTGAAGGAGGCTAGAAGGGCTGATGCCTTATGACAGAAAACTGTCGGGGTATTGTGTGCTCTCGCTTTATATAATAAGAGTTCTTCCTTCCCTATTCTCAGCTGTGGGGCTACATCTGCTACTGCCTTATATAAAATGAGAAATTTAGCCTCTGGGAATGTGCTGGTTGTGTAATAAACAAAGACTGCAGCAGGAACATGAGTCTGGATGCTACTAGGAAAAAAAAAACCTTCTATATTTGATATAAAGCCTGTAGCTATAAATAGAATGGTTTGGCATGAAGCCTTCATATAAAGGTCTTGCCAGAATACTAGGAGTAAATTTGATTGTTCCTGTCTGGCAGACCTGGAGCATCATAACCCCTCAGTAGTCAAAATAGGTGATGTGCTGCTGGCCTTCACTACACCTGACCACTCAAGGCTCAAAATCTCCTATTATTTTTCCCTATATCAGCTGGAGACTGGCTTGAGGACTTCCTACTTTTTAGGTCTAGGAGGCACATTTTTATTCCTGAGTGTCAGAAAGCTGCTCAGTATCCCACAAAGCACAAAAGCTCCAAAGACATACTGGAAAAACAGTGAACCACAGCAAGAAGTTTGAGTGATCATCTTCGCTCTCAGCATCTCTATAGACAGTTCCCACTTGTGAATTTTCAGAGCATTTTACCTTAGAAAATGACCTCTTTTAAACCGTGTGACCTGAAAGTTGTATACAAATATCATTAACATAGCCTAGCTATATAATTAGGTAGAGGGTAAATAAAAAGTTGCTAACATATCCTGTGTTACTTTTAGTTTTGCTTTGCTTCAGCTGAAAGAATTTGTTGTACTGCAGTGGAATATAGACAAATGCCACTGCATCTTTTTCCACCCCCAGAATGTTTGCTGAGAGACCTTGCACAGAATGATTGCTATGAATATTTTACTTTGCTGTTCAACAGGCTGAAATGTCCTACCCCAGGAAATTATGAAATATTCACTTTCTATTCAGCAAACGAGTGAACAATCCAAGTCTTGGACCAGATGTGTTTCAGATGATCTGGATCTAGATTTCTAATGCAGAAGGGTTAGTTTGGCTAGTATGGGAATAAAGAATTTGTGTGCCTTTTTCTTCTGTGGGAGAGCTTAAAAGTCAAACTCTGCATTATCCTGGAGACTGAAGAGAACTGTCTGCCAGATTTCTCCAGCTTACACATTCAGGCAAGCGAGGGGTTTCCCTCTCAATTCTTCCATAGAAAGAATTCTCTCATCTGATTAGTGGAATCTTCAGATTTTATATTAACTTGGTACTGAAATGATCTTTATCCCTGGAAGAGGTAAATTTGGAATTACGCTGGACTGTTTGTTCTTGCTAATATTGTGTTAAGAGCCGAGTAGACCTCTGGCTCTCCTTGGAACAAAGGCTAACATGCCTCTAACTTTCTCCCAGTTCCTAAGAGTTTAGAAAGCCAAAGGATGGTGATTTTCCACTGTATGTCTCACAGGGATGTTTGTTTGCAACAACATCAACTGCTTCATTTGTTAGGTATAAAACCTCCTGCCAAGGGAGCTAATGTTTTTAAGACAAATTGAAGAAGAGAGAATCAGGAAAGTTTATTGACCAATTTTCATTATGTTCTCTTTGTAATCTAAGGACAG